ACTAGATTAATGTTATTATGTAATTACGTAATAAAGAGCTTTTACTTTTTTTTGAAAAATTTTCTTGTATAAGGGCACCGTCATCGAAAAGAGAAAAACAATATAATATATCAAATGAGCCTGCATGCATTGTTGTTTGAATAAATGTTTGTTTTTCGTTACTCATTTGTTTTCTGACATAAATACAACTGATTGTTGTCTTATTATGGGAACTAATTAAATAGAAAGGAAATGTTAAACAACTTTTATAATGTAGAAAAAATTGGTATACAGTCGATATTTACCGAGATATACAGTGCATTCGAGATATGAGGGTATCTCAATATTTCTTTTATTTGTCGAGTCACGAATGATTTTTCGAGTATAATTTATTTGACATTACAATATGTCCGGTCGCAATTGCCGGTATTACTTTCGGCTTAACCGGAAATCCATGCAACTTTTTTTTCAAATGAGTAAGTAGGTAACGTTTTTGAAAGACATTTGAAAAGAGTAAACAATTTGCTGTACGGCAACATAAAATATGCATATGATTGATATACAAAAAATGGAGTCGTGATTCTATATTTAGAGAATTTATGAAATCTAGCATGCCGGGTACCATATCACACAGTTTTCTATATCAACTTTTCTAGGAAATTTGTTCGATAGATAAACTCGATGTTGAAAACGGAACTGGTCTAGTCTTTTCTTTTCTTTTTGAGTTATGCAGTTTTCGATTTTGGGATAAAAACCTAACTTCTTTTTTATGAATTTATCGGTGTTTATTACAAACTTTTTTTGTAATTTTTGTTGCATAATCTGCTGTTTTCAATATAGGTATACGGAGTTAAGTAAAAAAGTTATCGGACCTCATTTTTTAAAAGGCTTTAAGTCAAAAAAGATTAAAAAGAAAATTTGTAATTTTTTTAAAATATTAATTATAAAATGTTAATATTAAAAAAATATCCCCGGTGTGCTATAGTTTTGAAAAGAGAATTTATTATGTTGTCGGTTAGATTAAAATAGTAAACTTCCAAAATATAATTTCCAATATAAAAGCATTATGTTGTTAGAATCGTATTTGAACGATCGAATTCAGTATGTATGTTTTAATCACTGTGCATCGGGTTTTAAGCAAATTGAGACAGGCGTGCCTCAAGGTTCAGTACTTGGCCCAGTACTTTTCCTAATATATATTAACGACATTGCTCCGGTAACCAAGCATGATGAGTTAATTTTATATGCAGATGATACTACTTTATTAAATAGATGTAACACCATAACTGACTACACAAGCACCGGTATTAATACTCTTGAAGAGTGGTTTACGGATAATAAGTTGCTCGTAAATCATGATAAATCAGTTAAGTGCATATTTAGTTTAAAACAAATTGATCAAATCAATAATACTGGTTCATCAAAATTCCTGGGTGTATATCTTGACCCGAAATTGAATTGGTCTGTGCACTGCAATCAGGTGTGCACAAAACTGTCGAAAGCATGTTTTGTTTTGAGGAGTTTGAAATCAATGACATCTCATGAAGTTATGCTAAATGCTTACTATGGTTACTTCCACTCAGTAATGAGCTACGCCATAATTGCATGGGGACATTCTTCTGAGGTTAAACGGATTTTTGCTATACAAAGACGTGCGATTAGGATACTCACTAATTTAGGCTACAGAAGTTGTTGTAGGTGTAAGTTTGTTGAACATGGTATTTTAACCCTTCCCAGCTGGTACATTCTACATTGTATATTATTCATAAAAGAAAACATTGCTGATTACCAGTTTTCATATAACATACATGAATACTCCACTAGGTGTAGAGACAATATTAGCTCAAAATCTATTCGACTTACAACATCTCGGAACTGTAGTAACTATTACGGGATAAAATGTTATAATAGGTTACCCTCAAATCTGCGTCTTTTATCTTTCAATAAATTAAAAAATGAGGTAAGTAAATACCTTAAATTACACCCTTTTTATTCTGTCGATGGGAAGACAGCGCAAATAATTATGGTTTTGAAACCTGGTAAATCACCTACGGAACTTACATCATACAGGCCCATAAGCCTACTACCCATTCTGTCCAAGGTACTTGAAAAACTGATTCTGAATAGACTAATGCCAATTCTAGATGAACAAGAACTAATTCCTAAACATCAATTCGGGTTCCGTAAACAACATGGTACCGTGGAGCAGGTACACAGAATAACCGACAAGATTTACAGAGACTTGGAGGGAAAAAGATACTGCTCTGCAGTGTTCTTGGATGTCAAACAAGCCTTTGATAGAGTTTGGCATCAAGGTTTATGCTATAAGCTCAAACTGTTCCTACCCTACCAGATGTTTGAACTACTAAAATCATACATCACAAACAGGCACTTTTTAATCAAATACAAAGATGAAAATACAAATTTACACCCCATCTCCTCCGGCGTACCGCAAGGCAGCGCTTTAGGCCCTATCCTATATTTAATATACACCGCTGACCTACCCACATCACGTCTAACAACATCAGCGACCTATGCAGACGATATGGCCATTTTGGCCTCTCATGTCAATCCACAAGCTGCCTCAAGATATCTCCAAGCTCACCTCAACAAAATCCAGTGGTGGGCCAAAAAATGGCGTATCAGAGTGAACGAAACTAAATCCCAACATGTAACCTACACAATGAGGAAAGAAAATTGCCCTCCAGTGAACTTCAACGGACACCAACTACCACACTCAGAGACGGTCAAATATCTGGGTCTACATATAGATAGGAAACTCACCTGGAGAACCCACATATTTACCAAGCGTAAGCAACTCGGCCTTCAACTACAAAAATTATATTGGCTTATCGGTAGAAAATCTAAACTATCATTGGAAAATAAAATACTAATTTACAAAATAGTTCTTAAACCAATATGGACTTACGGGATATCCCTATGGGGCACTGCAGCTACTTCCACCCTAGCAATGCTTGACCGGTTCCAAAATAAAGTACTGAGAATGATCGTTGATGCGCCATGGTACGTCCCAAATAAGGTGATTTTAAGTGATCTACAAATTCCCACAGTGAAAAGTGAAATTAAAAACTTCAGTGTAAGATACAAAGACAGACTGAGCGTTCCCCCCAACGATTCTGTGCACCAGCTTATGGACAATAATGATGAACCCAGAAGACTTAAACGTTTCAAACCATCTGACTTACCTACAAGATTTTAACATAAACTGTAAACTGCTTTTGTCAAATACTATACCTATATTATCTTCATAGCATACATCACATATTAAAAATGTAAGGGGAGACTTCGATGGAATTCTGCCCCACATGTCATTTTGTAATAATTAATTCAATCCTATTAAATACTTATTGCTAAATAAGCTATGGCAGATTGTATAATTAAAGGAGAATAAAAAAATGAATTTTTAAGTGCGGAATGGCACCTGTAACTATTACTACTTTTTTTCTTTTGTAGTACATGTTTTTGTTTTGTTTCTTTAGTGTTCGTTTTATCTACGCTACTTGACGAATCTGATATAGTCGCAGCACTATCATAGAGTATTTACATTATTATTATTATTATACAGGGTGTTCCATTTAAAAAATGAGGTCCGATAACTTTTGTAGTTGACTCCGTGTACTTATTTGGAAAACTGTGGATTATGCAGCAATCATATGTAATACACATTTCCGATAACTTTATAAACAAAGAAATTATAGGCTTTCATCTAAACATCGAAGAATTCACCTATTGCCCATAACTCAAAGACTGTAGACCATTTTGGTTTTCACATCAGGTCTATCTAAAAAATAAACATATCGAGACTGTCAATTTTTTTCTCTTATCACTTATAGTTTAACAGTTACCCTAAGGATAAAAATTGACCACCTCTGTGCAGAGAAAATAATTTATTCACAAACATGAAATTGTCCAATTTTAATAGTTGTAATAATTCCGAATACCAAGCACGTCATTTATGAGTGTCCTATACAGGGTGTCTTAAATTGAATAGGATAGCATGGCTATCTTTTGGTATTTTTATACCTACAGATTCCGTTAAATTGGCAAAGTTGTGTATAGTTTTTGATGCTGATGGATATTCCGATGCGATATTTTGAAAAAAATAATTGATTTCGTAGATAATTGGAAAAATGTGAAAATCACCATTTTGAAAAAGTTCAAATATTTTAGTAACAAAGAGAGCTATCGAAAAAAGTTTCAAATAACAGTTGCAAAATTCGATGGGATATTCAATGCTCAGAAAAAAAAATTGTTCAAATGGCGGTTTCCGAGATATTGAAATCAACTTCCTTATTTTAAATGGACGTCATATTGGAATTGTACGTCACTCGATAGAGAAAAAAATTACAAAACCAGTGATACTACACACTTAGTATGTCATTTGGGAACCAACCTTCCATTTTTGCCTCGAAGTTTACATTGTATTTCTTATGGAAATAATTCCATGGCTGATTATGATTGAAACCAAATTCTTTCGTTTATTTTCTCGAATAGTCACCATCGGCACGGCCATGGAATTATTGCCATAAGAAATACATTGTAAACTTCGAGGCAAAAATGTAAGGTTGATTCTCAAATGAAATAGTAAGTGTTTAGTATCACTGTAGTAGTATCGAGTGACGTAAAAATCCAATATGGCGTCCATTTAAAATAAGGAAGTTGATGTCAATAACTCGAAAACCGCCATTTGAAAAAATTTGTTTCCACGTTCATTGAATTTATCCCATCCCATCTTGCAACTTTTATTTGAAACGTTTTTCGATAGCTCTCTTTGCTACTAAAATATTTGATTTTTTTTAAAAATGGAGATTTTCACTTCTTTTGAATTATTTACGAAACCAATTATTTTTTCAAAATATCACATCGGAAATTAGCACAAAAAAACTACACAACTTTGCCAATTTAACCGAATCTGTAAGTATAATAATAACAAAGATAGCCATGTTATCCTACTCAATTTAAGACACCCTGTATATTGTGTAATTAAGCAATTTTCAAGAGCGGGCGTGGTGGACTCCAGGAGCAGGAGCCATTTACTTTAGGGAGACGAATTATGTGAACGTTTTTCCATGTCGTATTTAGGGAGATGTGTATGCGTAGATTTACTAAATGAAATTGCCATCAATCAAGTGTGTATATAAATTATGTATGGTCAATAAATAAAGTGCTTGCTTTGTTCAATCAGTTTGCGCAATTTATTATTATCGTGTCAGATTCGTTCGAATGGCTTACGTTCGCGTTTAAGAACGTATGTATTTTTCATGTTATTGCCGTTATAAATCGCTTTAATAGGGATTGTTTACAAATTATGCGAATTTTAATATTACTTTCATATCATCGCTATTATGTGTTGTGTGAGCACTACGAATATTGTATTCTGTTCAATATAAGGATGTACAATTTTTAATGGTATGTTGCTTTAATGTAAATAGATGCATAAAATGCACGCACACTTGCGTTTTGTACAGTGTGTGTTGAAAGTGAATTTAACGCTTTTGTTACTACAAACTTGTTTAAATTAGGAAATATCTTTTGTGGTTGGTGGTTGGTCCGTTTTGTTTTTTTGTAGAATACTGTCGATTGCCAACATTTCACATTTAAAGTGCGAAATTTCCTAATTTTAAATGTTACTGAGCTCGGACGTAAATACCCTCTGTATACAGGCTGTTCCTAGATATGATGTAAATACGGAAAGGACTAATTCTTGAATCTATTGTATGAGTAAAAGTTTATATAAACATAGGTCCGTAAACGCTCCATTACCGATGCACAGGGTGTTAAAATTTCAAGATTTTTTAAGTCTTTTCTTTATATCTCCAGCAGTTTTTGAGATATTGCGATCAAATTTGAACTATAAGTTACGCTGAAGGGTGTACATCAATGGTAGGGATGTGATTTTGATCCGTTTGTGTCCCTTAAAAGAACTTCTAGGGAAGAAATTTAACTTCAATTCTGTTATTATCGCATTTATGGATTTGTGGAAGAACCAAAACCGTTTCACGAAATAGGAATCAGTAAGCTAATGGAAAGATAGTAAATGGGTAGTCCGAAATAATGATTAATTTGTTAATGTCCTAATAAAATTAAAATGATTTGAACATCCCTCGCAAATATAGTGGAAACAATCTGTTTTCTTATTTTCTAGAAGATGAAACACAAAATAAATCCAAGTTTAAGATTTGCTACAAAATTGAAAAAGTCCTGACTACGAGATGTTTGCATGAACGCCTTAACACGGAAATTAAATTCCTACTAAACTCGTGTAAATAAAACTTCTGAAGCTCTTCGCCTTTCGTTCTATTGGTTTTTGTTGCTATACAGAAAAACAGAAAGGACGATACTGCTCGCATTAAAGAAATCAGCGTTCATTATTGATTTTCATTAAAAGGCGCGAGGTAGAGTGAGTAAATGTTTGTCAACATTATCAAATTTCAGTTTCAGCTTTTAGATAAAGTTGGAGACGACGATCGCTTTGTCAGAAACTTCAGTGGTACATTTCATGTGTCTACGACAAATATTGAATGGAAGTTACTCTGTTTGATTTGAATGTCCTAAAGTGAAGTAATGTTTAGATGTCTTTAAAGTGCTTCCGATTTCATATCCCTGTAAAACATTAAATTTCGGTCTTTTAACTTTGTGTCAAAAGGTCAAGCCCATAAATTAAAGTTAGCTCCGAGGCGTTAATTTTGTTTAATTAAAAGTTCACGTATGTGTGTTAGCAAATGAGTTACAATTACTAGAAAACTATTGGAAAATATGTATGTCTTAAAAAGGAGATACGTCCATTAAGTTTTTATGTGCTAATTTAGATAACATGAAATCGTGATTGGATGATCGTTAAAATACAGCGATATCAGCTCCTTGGTATTCAAATAAATTTGCTCTTCTCGTCAATTGTATAGATTATTATAATCTCCGTTGTGTCTTGTACAGACTGTTACACGCAAATGCAGAAACATCGTTACATTAGTAATCAATGGAAAGGTAAAGGGTTCATCGTTCCACTTGCACACTGAAACTGCAGATGTACTGAAAACGCGAAACAAACCACGCCCTGAAGGGAAATCGATATAGTGTCTAGGTTGGGAACGAAATTTCAGAATGATACATGGATAACAGTCGAGATCGCAATCATTACTGTATTTACATTCGAAATGAATCAACGGAGTGTAAAGCTTAATTATTCTCTTTGTTTTTTTTATAGTGAATTGGATGGGAAATGTAATACACTAAAAAATGTTCATAAGAGAGAAAATAGCGCTTATTATTCAGAACCTGTTTTAAATAAATAAATTTTGCCCCATCGGTTTGGGTGGAGAGCTGTGAAAATTTGAATATACTTCGGTGACAAATCCCCTAAACTTCTATTTGAATTTCCGCAAGCATTTGAGAAAGTATACTGATTTTCCATTTTTGTCAAATATACCTTACTCACCCCCTTCCCTTCGGCCCCACATTTCAAATCGATATCTCAAACCGTTACCAATTTAGAAGAGGGCAGAGGAGACTATTCACGTCCGCACTGTATACCTCACAAACTACAACAAAACTCAAATTTGCGCCCACTTCTTCGATCGATGGAATTTGGTTGTAACAGATATGTAGGGCATGTTTGTTGACATTGACACTTCATTATGCTATGTTGTCTGACTGCATTCTTTTTTCGGTTAAAATCAATTACTTATTAGTTATTGTAATAAAAATACCGCGCTCACACTGTTTGCTCTAATATAACGATTAAAGAAACAGAACAAAAATTAGTTACGATAAATTAAATGATCGTTAAAATAAATATTAGTCCAAGATCAGCAATTACTGTTAATAAGCAGGAAACAAATTTGCCGACAGTTTGAATCAGTATCTTTATGTTCTATTTTTTTCTTTTGCCGAAGACTTATCCGTCACTTTGTTAGCGCGTTAGGTTCATAATGGATGAGATATCAGAAAATGTAAACAATTTATTTGAAAGATGATAGATTGTATGATTGATGTTGAATTAGCCAGCAGCGGTAGTGATTGATCTGTATATAGAGGCATAATCACACGAAAATTTTTAAATCGTGTAGAAGTTTTAGCGGTTTTTTCATGAAAAATACTTACTATAAATAAATCCGAAGATCATTTTAAAGACAAGTTTGAACATGTATAGATCTTCTGTTTATTTAACTATAAATTAACACTACGATTCTATAACTAAATTAATGAATTAAAATAATGAACAAGAACAGATCAACTGCATATGCAAGCACAAGGCACAAGGTAACAACGGCAATGAATTTCATTGACGTATCTCCCTCATTTTTCATGACGCCCTCTATCGGTCTTAGAGCGCAATCTTGGTGATCGCCGCTTTGGTACCGGCGCTACATCCACTCCTTCCCCAGTGAGCTGCTCTGAAGATGCAGGGAACGACACCATTTTTCTTTTTGTAGCATGTGACATTCGAGCTGGTTTTGGCGGCGATACCTGAGGATCCTGTAACAGAGGTGGAGTTGGACTGCTGTCTATTAATCTAGAAGTCGGCTTGCTGGGTTCGCAGAATTCAATGAATGCAGGTTTGAGGTCGTCTGTGGAAATTGTTTTTTCTTTCCCATTTACTTCGATGACGTAGTTGCGATCGTTAATACGGCGTTTGACCAGATGTGGACCTGAATACGGAGGCTCCAGTGGGCTGCGTATTTTCCCAATCTTGTAGAACACGTGGGTGCAGGTGCGTAAGCTTGTGAAAAAGAATGGTTTGCTTCCTGCGTGATTCGACGCAGGAACTGGACGGATGGCTTGCGAGAGACAGCGCAGTTTGTCCAAAAAAGTTGTTTCAGAGACGGGCGGTTCTTGGGTGCGAAAGAACTCTCCCGGTATTCTCAACAAGGTTCCAAAAACCATTTCCGCCGGTGAGGCTTGCAAATCTTTTAAAACTGTACGCATGCCGAGGAGAACCAAGGGCAGTGCTTGTGGCCACGGTGTCTGTGGGTGGCACATAAGGGCGGTTTTTAACGTTCTGTGGAGCCGCTCCACCATGCCATTTGCCTTAGGATGGTAAGGAGTCGTGTGCTGGTGTTTAGCTCCGATTCTACGATATAGAGCGGCAATTAATTTGGCGTCAAACTCCTTACCTTGGTCAGATGTAATTGTGAGCGGTGTTCCAAACATACAAATCCAATTCTCCCAAAGCGCTCGGGCAACCACTTCGGCTGACTTGTCTGTAATGGGGGCTGCGACAGGCCAACGAGAGAAACGGTCTATCACCGTTAAACAAAATTGTAACCCATCCGTGAGTGGAAGCTTGATGAGGTCCACATGGATGTGTTGGAACCTTGTGTTCGGTGTGTCGAATTTACCAAGTTCTGCGCGATTGTGCCTAGAGACCTTGGCACGTTGGCACTTTTCGCAATGCTGTGCCCATCGAAAGACGTCTTTTCTTAGGCTGGGCCAATAGTACGTTTCTTGTATCTTTTTTGCAGTGGCGCGACCACTTGGGTGCGCCAGATTATGAACAGCATCGAAGACTTGACGTCGTAATTGAACTGGTATGTACGGTTTCAATAAATTGTTATAAGCCACGCAGTAAAGCATGTGGCCGTCGAGGTTGAGGGAACGCAGTTTGATTTTTGACTTACGGAGTAAGTGTGGCAGTTGCTCATCTGTAACTTGGGCCGTCGCTATTGTGGCCGCATCTAACATAGTTGGCCATGCGATGGTGCATGAGCGAGAGAGCGCGTCAGCGACACAGTTCTCTGCTCCTGGGGTGAACTCAAATCGTGCATCAAATTGAGCGATAAAATCCAGATGATTTACTTGCCTGGGAGATGCCTTATCTGCACGTTGGGCGAGGGCGTATACTAACGGCTTATGGTCCGTGAAAATTGTGAAAGGGCGTCCTTCAAGGATTCGCCTGAAGTTTTTGATTGCAGCGAACACTGCAAGGAGCTCACGATCATAGGTGCTGTATCGTTGCTCAGTGGGGGAGAGCTTGCGGGAAAAGAATGCCAAAGGAACCCATTTGTTTTCTTGCCACTGGTCTAGGGCGGCGCCAATGGCGTTGCTAGAAGCGTCCGTGCGAAGTGCGAGACGGGCTGCGGGCTCGAGAAAGGCGGCGCCGACAGCTTTAGCGATACTTGCGCGGCAATCGATGAATGCTTTTTCTTCCGCTTCAGACCACTGTAATTTAACCTGCTTTTTTGCAGCTCCTTTTAAAAACTCGGTCAATGGAGCCTGCAGGTGGGCTGCATGAGGGATGCAACGACGATAATGATTCATCACACCCAAAAAACGCCGGAGCTCAGTTGAATCGAGTGGCTTTGGGAAGTCGAGAATCGCTTGCACCTTGGCAGCGGGTGGTTTGAAGCCGTTTTTCGAAACATCATAGCCTGCGAAAATTACCTGTGATGCGCCCAGTGTTGACTTGGCCCAATTGGGATGGAGGTTTGCAGCTTGAAGCACTGTGAAGAGTTCAATGAGGTGATGCCGGTGCTCTTCGTGCGATTTGGAATGGACCAAGATGTCGTCGACGTAGCATTTGACAAAATCCATTTTTTTAAGGAGATGATTCATTGTCCGCTGGAGGGTCTGGGCGGCGTTGCGAAGTGCCATTGGCATACCAATAAATTCGTACAACCCAAAAGGCGTTGTAACGGCGGTTTTTGCAATATCCTTGGCTGCCACAGGGATTTGATAGAAAGCGCGATGGAGATCCACGACGGAAAATACCGATCCTTTGCTTTCCTGTAGAAGATCCTCTATGATAGGTAGAGGGTAGCGGTCAGGGACTGTGGTGGCATTCAGACGTCTATAATCTCCTGTCGCTCGCCAACCGCCACCTTTTTTTGGTACCATATGTAAAGGACTGGCCCACTGACTTGAAGAAGGCCGGATAACTCCACTTTTCAACAGTAATTCAAATTCATTTTTCGCAGCTGCTAGACGCTTTCCAGACAGGCGACGGGGACGGTCAAAAACTGGATGTCCATTAGTAACAATGACGTGTTGTATTGGAAAGTCGGACAGGACTGCCATCGTTTTGCGATTAGCCGGCGAACTCTGGAACTCACGGACAAGCCGCGCATAAACGGACCCAAGGTCACCGTCGGGCACACTGACACCTGGAGCAATTGCCACGCTATGCACTTCTGCTGGCGCGAGTTGAGCAGGAGTCGATAGTGATGTTAGCGGGTCGATAATGCATTTTTGTCGCAAGTCGATGATAAGGCCAAAATTCTGCAGAAAATCGGCTCCAAGGATTGCCAATTGGACGTCAGCAATGGTGAAGTGCCAGGTAAAATCTCGCCGGAGACCAATATTCAGTGATAATTCTTTCGTGCCATAAGTTGCGATGACAGAAGAATTGGCTGCGTGCAGGTCCAGCTCTTGCCGTGGAAGGCGCTTTGATATCGCCTTTCTGGGGATGAGTGAGATTACGGATCCGGAGTCCACTAGGAATCGCATGGATGTGCGTTTATCTGTGACAAGAAGGCGGTTTTCAATGAGTAACTCACCAACGGCGACCACCTTATGCGGCGTCGGTGGACCTAGTTTTCCGAAGCCTTGGCGTATGAACATGGGGAGTGACAATATTTCGCCTGCAAGCCAAATCGATTATGATACCAGCACACGCGTTCAGATCGAGCAGATGTGGAAGAGCTCTCCCGCGCTTGAGATGGCGTCCGTGAGCGACTGCGACCTCTTCGTGGCCCAACTGATGTGCGCGGAGCACCTGCCACCAGCGACTTGATATTTGCGGTTAGCTGATTGATTGAAGTGCGCAATGAAACCAACTCGGCGGCAACCATATCGGCCTGCGGGTGCGATGGTTTGAATGGCTGCGTCACGGCTGCCAGGTTGGAGCTGCTGGTTGATGTGGACACCACTGTCGGGTTGAGGTCCTCAATTTCGTCGGCGGCAACTGCCAATTCCTCGAGATTGGATGCTTTAAATACCTGCAGCAAACGTCGCGTGGTTGGCGGCAATAAGTCGAGCCATTTTACACGAAGGACATCATTTGAAGCGCGATCTCCGGCTAAAAGCTGCATTTGCCGTAGTAGCTGTGAGGGCTTGCGGTCGCCCAGCTCGAGACCTGTAAGAGCTTTGTGCAATTGCCTATCAGCGGAGTCCATCAAGCGTGCAAGTATCGCGGTTTTAAGGGCGGTATATTTCTCTGCAGTCGGGGGCGAACGCAAAATGTCTGCAACTTCGACTACCGTATTGGGATCAAGGTTCGCCACAGCTAGATTGTATTTTGTAGAGTCTGTTGTGATACGGTGTACAGCGAAGACGGCTTCGACTTGTACAAACCAAAGTTCAGGATTCGCGCGCCAGAACGGTGGCAATTTACAACGATCCACGGAAACAGCGGTTGGCACATTTTCAGTAGCCGCGGGAGGTTGACCGGGAAGATTATCGTTTGGCATATTAGGTCGTTATTTAAAATTATCTTTAAACGACGAATCGACAAGATGGCGTGTCTTTATCAGAATACCGCAGACAATTGCGCGAAGGCGAGATAACCGAATTTTTAATCGTGTTGTTCACATAGGTATATAACTCGTTTTTTAATCGGGGTCACCACTATAGATCTTCTGTTTATTTAACTATAAATTAACACTACGATTCTATAACTAAATTAATGAATTAAAATAATGAACAGATCAACTGCATATGCAAGCACAAGGCACAAGGTAACAACGGCAATGAATTTCATTGACGTATCTCCCCGAGGCCTACGATACTTACAGGCCGGAGCGCTCGAAAAAGTCACGTGACGTTAGGAGTCATATGAAATACATTACGGCTTATGGAAAATCCGTGCGCGGCTCCACTATTTATTTTTTTACTCCGGATCCGTTCAACATAGAGCCACGAAATTTCAATGAGAGCTTCTCAATAGTACACACAATCAAATTATGGTGTTCGTTAATTTTTAATAACACTAAAAATAATTAATTTTTAGGTTTAAAGTATTGAAGATAAAACGATGTTAGTAAATCCGCGTTTTTCTATCTTTACATCATCATATTTCTTTTTCTAGGAACTATATCATTATAATCCTTTCGGTGTCTTAAACTAGAATGATATGCGCCTCCAATTATGCGTATATGATGCCTAATCTGATATTAGTATAGTTTTAACAGGCCCTACAAAATCGCGCATTTATTATCCGCGCAGAGAAAAATTCAACATGCGAGAAACTTTTTTGTTATTACTATAATTGTATCACAT